AGCTATCTATCACCGTTTAAATCCCTGTACCTCAGTTTGTTACTAAACTTAGCTATCACCGTTGTATCCTTGTACCTCAGTTTGTTACTAAACTTAGTTTGTTCACCGTTTAAATCCCTGTACTTTTAGCTATCTATCACCGTTATATCCTTGTACCTCAGTTTGTTACTAAACTTAGCTATCTATCACCGTTTAAATCCCTGTACCTCAGTTTGTTACTAAACTTAGCTATCACCGTTGTATCCTTGTATCTCAGTTTGTTACTAAACTTAGCTATCTATCACCGTTATATCCTTGTACCTCAGTTTGTTACTAAACTTAGCTATCTATCACCGTTTAAATCCCTGTACCTCAGTTTGTTACTAAACTTAGCTATCACCGTTGTATCCTTGTATCTCAGTTTGTTACTAAACTTAGCTATCTATCACCGTTGTATCCCTTTGTTACTAAACTTAGCTATCCGCAATCCCTGTTTATTACTAAAATTAGCAACCGTTGTATCCCTGTACAGTTTCAAAATTAGTTTGTATCTCTCTATCTCTTTATGTTACTAAAATTATCTGTCTTCATTTGTATCTCTATACCCCACTTTGTTACTAGAGCTAGCAATTTATCTGTTTGTATCCCTGTATCTTAGTTTGTTACTAAAATCAGCTGTCTTCAGTTGTATAACTGTATGTTAGTATGTTACTAAACTTAGCTATTAGCGTTTGTATCCCTTTACCTCAGTTTGTTACAAACATTAACACTCTATCTCAGTTTGTGTCTTTATACCCCAGTTTGTTACTAAACTTAGCTATCTGTCTTCATTTGTATGTCTGTACCTCAGTTTCTTACTAGACGTAGCTATAACCGTTTGAATCCATGTACCTTAGTTTGTTAATAAAATCATCTCTCTTCATTTGTATGTCTACACCTCAGTTTGTCACTAAACTTATCTATCACCGTTTGTATCCCTGTACCTTAGTTTGTTGCTAAAATTAGTAATCTATCTGTTTGCATCCCTGTACCTCAGCTTGCTACTTAACTTAGGTATCTGCTTTCATTTGTATTCATATAACACTGTTGATAAACTTATCGATCAATCTCTATGTACCTCAGTCTGTTATAAGCTCAGCGATCTAGCCCTGTGGTACCTTTTTATTTCGTCCAGGAAGAGTATGAAACGGAACTTTGCAATTTATCCTCGTTTGTATCCTTGTACTCCAGTTTGTTACTAAACTTAGCTATCCATTACCGTTTGTATCTCTGTACCTCAGTTTGTTACTAAACTTAGCTATCAATCACCGTTGTATCCCTGTACCTCAGTTTGGTACTTCAGTTTGATGTTAACTTTAGCATAGTACCATATAAAGCAAAAATATTTAGAACTTCGAACTATTTACAGTTATATTGTTATGGGAGAACTGCGTGTAAATCCATTGCTAGGCGCCTAAATATTGATTGATTGATTCGCTTTTTTTACGGCTCATCAAGTCATTGCAGGTTACTTAACGCCAAAAAATATTTATAGATTGCAATATTTTTTTCGGGATAATGATTTAATAATACAAGTTTTACTAATTAACCTATAGAAGTGGGGAGAAGAGATAGATTCATAACTTTCCCAAAGTGAATATAACGAACCCAACTGGAATTGGAACTCGGCTCTCCGATTGACAATTCCGAACTATTATCCATTAAACTATCCGTACATCTAATACTTACAAAACGTTCTATACCCAAACGGTCACCCATCTAGATACTGACCAGGCTTGAGGTTGCTTAACTTCAGTGATCGTATGAAAATCGGTGTTTCAGCGTGATATGGCTTGTAAGCCATATAAATATTGAGGTTGAGTAAAAATAATAGTGGTTTATAATGCAAAGCCATAGGTTGATGCAACCGGGGGAATCAAACCCCGTAATATTGTGCGAGGCTCGCTTGCAAACCAACGTTCCTCGAATTGTACGTTAAAGATTACCATTTCTTTTTCTCCTCCACATTATTTCTCAATATAAGGGCCTCTTTACTGGACACTGAAAGTAAATTTACAAAACATAATCAAACGTCAAAAGGAAGGAAGAAAACGCTACTCGATCGCTAAGCTTTTCCTCGCAGATTTTCTCTGAGCCCTGAAAAGAAACGATATGTCAAAAAGCTCCTCTAACAAATCGACTTTAAATAAAGCCGAAACATTTGGGATCTTTCCCAGTCGCGCCAATATGTTATCGTTGTTATCTTGGGATATATTCTTCTTTTATTCATGTTCTTTTCTTCTTTTCGTCATTTTTCTTTGCCTTTTTTTTGTTTTTAATGCTGCCATCTGTGATATTTCACTTGCCTGACCAATGTCTTTTTTATGATGCCCTCAAACCAATAACTCATTGCTTCCGTACTCTGGCAACATGTCATATGCGTAGGATTTTTTTCTTTCTCTCCAGCTTCGGGAACGCTTTGCAAGCATTTGCAAGCTTCTTCTTCTTTGATTTTTCGAACTTACCCTCGGATCTTGAATAAAAGAAGGATTTGGAATAAGCGGAATGGTGGATGTTTTTAATCTTATAAGCGAAGGTGGGGTTAGAGGAAGCGAGTGTTGGAAAATCTGAGGATTGAGTAGGATTATTTTAGATGTTAGTTTATTTGAATGAAGAAATGGTATGTAAATATACAGCAAATTATTTGAAACGAGTTAAAAGAATTTTCTTCTATATAAATTCTTTTACCAAAAAAAGTATTTTTTAGTGTTTTTTTTTACAGTAAGATTTACCCTGTATAAGGCCGGGAGGCCACTCGAGACAGAGGTGTGTTTCTAATGTCTTTCGTTTGTAATTGTTTTCTTTCATAGCACCGAAGTTAAGCAACGTTTAACCTGGTCTGTACCTAGATGGGTGACCACTCGGGAATACCAGAAGCTGTAAGTTTGGATGTGCGGGTGGTGTAATGGGTAGCGGCTCGGATTCTTTATTTTACTTCATTGCACTTTCGTCGTTTCACTCAATGATTTCTTTAAAATCGGAATTCAAGCCAAATTCTTTTCGTTTTTAAAACCGTCCTTCTTTTAAGGTTTTCAGATCTTAATAAAAAAAAAAGAAAAAAAGAAAAAAGAACTCTTCGGACCCATCATTGCGTACATTCAAACATTTAAATCTCAGGTAAAATTAACTGTTAATTAAGTTTATTTATCTCTGAATCTAAAACATTGTTGATAAAAAAAAATGGTAATGGTAATATGAACTCTTTCCTTATAAGGAAACCGAACAGCCACTTTTATTTATGAATCTCCTATTAAAACAACTTCTCAGGAAAACAGATTTCTGAAGGGCAAAGAAAGTCAAGGGAAAAATAGAGAGAGAGATTTACTGCCTATACTCGTATATATGTCGACTTCATTTATAGTACGATCCCTGATTATTTTTGCATGTTTTCTAACCCCGCCAAAAAAAAATTACCTGAGTATAGTGCAACCGGTCATCAAAAATGCATGATTTTTAATCTCTTCAGGAAGTTTTTCTCCCCGGAGTCGATCCTCCAGATCTACAAATCAACAATTCGCCCTTGCATGGAGTATTGCTGCCATATATGGTCTGGTGCCCCTTCTGTTTACCTCGGGGTTCTTGATAGGCTCCAGAGGCGGATATGCAATATAATTGGCCATGATCTGGCATCTCGTCTACAGTCACTTTCTCACAGACGCGCCGTCGCCTCTCTCTGTCTTTTTTACAAATACTTTCATGGTAATTGCTCCGAGGAGCTGCATTCGCTGGTTCCCAGACGTCATGAGTTCCAGCGCCCTACGAGGCTGGCATCCCGCTCTCACCCTTTCACTGTTGAAACTACTAAATGTAGCCGTCTCTTCTACTCTAATAGCTTCATGTCTCGCACCTCTCGCCTGTGGAACTCCCTTCCCTATTCCTGTTTCCCTGTGAGCTATAATCTCCAGCTATTCAAGTGTAATGTCAATCGACATCTCCAGTTGCCTTGACCTATCCACTACCCTCATCCTTTCTTCTATCACTCCTATCTGATCTTGCTCTAAACTTTCTGTAACCCCTTGCGTCCTAGTGGCTTTCCGCCTTGCTTGGGGTGAAATACTTAAAAAAAAAAAAATTACCTGTGTATAGTGCGACTCTATTTTTTGATTTAAATTTTTTTTCTGTTAATTCACACCTTGGATTTCACTTCCAAGTGTGCTGTTTAAACTCTCTGCGGCTAGAAATAATGATTTTTTTCCATATTAGTGTAAGTTAGGTTCATCATAAAATAGTAAAAAGTAAATGGTAAAAAAGGGCTCAAGTGAAAAAATAGGAAAACCAGCTTAAAATTAGACATCAGTAGCTGTTTAATTTTAAGCTATTTAAAGTTACATTTCTAATCAGAGGGAAGCTGTTGTGTATTTATTTCGTTCCGGTTTAGTTGTCCGGGAAGCGTCAAGTATACACCATTGATCTCAGTGGCTCTATCACAATTGCATCATGAAATCATATTAAGTAATAAAAGAAAGAAGAAGATTTGCTTCCAAGGATATATGTCTATACAAAACAGATTATAAGATCAACTCTTATCAGGTGGAAATACGTCAAGAGAACATCTTTTTGTAAAAGGTATCATGACCACCAGCCTTGATATGACTGACCCTGTACCGGCTAAAAACTACCATGAATGACTGTCCCAGAACCCATGTGAATGGTGGAACAACAAATTTCACTATCTTGTTGGTTATAAGTGCCTATCTATCTGGAAACTGATAAGAATGATTCTGAAGTAAGAGGTTGTTGTGAGTGCAGTGATAGCAAGAGACTTAGTTGGTGAACCAACAAGAAAGAAGACAAAGAAAATATATGTTGATCTACGACAAAGACTAAAAAAAATTATACATTGACTACACAGAAGAAAAGAAAGATTTGGATTAGGTGTTAAATGAATTTGGTCACAATATAAGATTTTAGTTTAAATTTTTTTGCTTTTAAATGTAGATGTAATTTTCTTTTTAATTTGCTAAATAGACAACGCGTGCATTCCAGAACGAAACTGCTCTCCTTTACCGACCACAGAGATCCCTCTCTGCCGCCCATCAGAATGGCCGATTCCAAACTGCTCGATATCGCCTCGTTACGCCTGCTTGGTCTCACGCTGTCCACTGACACGAGGTAGGAATAAATACATTGAATCAATAGCTTCATATACCACAAGGAAAGTTGGTTCTCTGTGTCGTACCAGAAAGTTTTTTCTCGTCTGAGTTCATCCTTCAAATCTATTAATCAACCATCCGTCCTTGCATGGAATATTGCTGTCATATATGGACTGGTGCCTCCGCTGTACGTCTCCAGATCCTTGACAAAATCCAGAGACGAATATGCAAAATGATAGGTCCTGATCTGGCATCTAGTCTACAATCGCCCCCCACAGACGTGCTGTGGCCTCACCCTGTCTCTTCTACAAATGTTTTAACTCTTCCAACGAGCTACTTTCGCTGGTTCCCGGACTGCATGAATTTAAACTGTTATATCTCGTGCAAGATATAATAAACAAAGTAAATCCGAGTGTGGTTTTCAATAATAATTTTATAATCGGATATAGGTATGTCAAAATACAGAGAGAGTCAGGAGTAAGCTAACCGCAATAGGTGTTAACAAACGAAGACCTTTTTTCTTACTGTTCGCTGTGGTCGTACTTTATCGGCAACCAGTCCGTCCATTATCGTGAATGGGGAAGTTGGGTTATCTCATCACAACATAAACGAACTACCAGGCTGGTATCTCAGTCCCACCCTTAAACTGTCAAAACGGTTAAATGTAACCGTCTCTTCTCAAACAGCTTCTTCCCTCGCACTTCCCGCCTGTGGAAATTCCTTCCTCTTGCTTGCTTCCCCGATGAATATAATCTTCAAATATTCAAGTGTAATGTCAGTCGACATCTTCTGATATCTTTATCTTGTTCCCCGTCCTTCTCTGTATCCTTTCCTCAGACACGCCTCTTTACTCTTGCTCTCCGTGCTCTGTAACCCCATGCGTGCTAATGGCATTCCCGCTTTGCTTGGGGTGAATTGCTTTAAAAAAAATTATTTCTTTGCCTGTATGTTTTTGCTTTGTGCTATTTTTGTTTTCTATTTTCCCACTTGTGTCATTTTTACCTGTGCCATTTTTACGGTGCCATTTTTATCTGTGGCATTATTACCTAAATTCATGGAAACACTATTAGAATTTTCATTCACCATTTTTTTTTAGTAGAAGTCCTAATTAACATCTTAATTACCTGTGTTAAATATGATTAGCAATGGCATAAGAAAGCAATTATCTGAAGACCATTTTATCTATCAGCACCAGCATTCGACAACGCCACTGAGTCACGTCGGAAATGTCAACGTTATCATATTCAGTTTAGCGACCAAAACGTTTTACTACTTCATCAGCATTTTAAGACACTTTTCCCTTTCTAAGGATCGTCTGTAATGATATTAAATCATCGATATCATTGTATTAACAACTTATAGCAATTTTGAGGGTGAGTTTTTATTTTGTATGTTTCATTACACACAAACACACACACACACACACACACACACACACACACACACACATATATATACTTATATATATATAATACAAAATATATATATATATATATATATATATATATATATATATATTGGTTGGATAGATGCGAGTTTGTGACCCTGGGTTTATGTTAGCTCTATCTCTGATATTGAGCGCTTTTAATAAGTACCGCGCATATAATATATAAATAATTCTATATATATATTTATATTTATATACACACACACACACACACACACACACACACACACACACACACACACACACACACACACACACACACACACATATATATATATATAAAATTTGTAGGTCTGCTGAATTGGATCGTGATTACGATTTCAATCTAATATATTATAACCATGGAATATTAGTGTTTGAGCTATTTATATTATATATATATATATATATATATATATATATATATATATATATATATATATATATATATATATATATATATATATAGATAGATAGATAGATAGAGATATAGATAGATAGGTAATTGAAAAAAATATTTTATGTATGAGTGGCCAGCCAGAAGCCCTGACTTAACAACCTGTGACTTTGGGGCGGGGTTTGGTTAAAGGAGCAAGTCTACTATAGCAAACCAAGATTTTGGAAGAACTTGAAGGTCTTCCATACCACAAGTGTCCCTGGCGAAATCAGTTGGCACTATTCCTGGGCGGCTCGAGAAGCTAGGAGCGAAATCTGATGCCCATATTGAAATTTAAATAAAAAGCTCATGCTAAACGCTTTCCTATCCGATACTTTTCTTGTAAAAAAAATTATAAGTATTTAAAATGATATTTACAAGACAAAAGAGTCCATCATACATAAAATAAGGAGATAATTTTCAATGACCCTGTAATTTCGATTTTCGATTTTGACGGTTTCCCCTAGATGACGCAGGTTCGAATCCCATCCCAACCCGGAGAACACATTTTTTTCTAGTAAGATTTC